GCCTACACCCTTCCAGGACATTCGGGGGTCCCCTCTCCCCAGGCTCCAGACCCCCCTGTGGGGACCCCCCCTCCCTGGGCTCCAAACCCCACACACAGCCCCCCACACCTTGACAAATTCACACACACACACCCCTACCCCCAACCATACAAGATACCCACGTAATTTTGCTTAATTTTGATTTTTTTAGCCATGAGATTAAAATCCCGATTGATTGTGACTAATTTTTTTAATCACACAACTAATCACAATCAATTTTCTTAATCATTTGACAGCCCTCGTGTCTACAAGTATGCTAATAACAAGAGGAAGATCAAGGAAAGTATGCATCGCTTACTGAATGAGGGAGGCAACCTAGCGAGAAAGGATGTGGAAAGATTGAAGTACTCTATGCCTTTTTCACCTCAGTCTTCACAGGCAAGGTCAACTCCCAGACTACTGCACCTGGAAGCACAGTATGGGGAGGAGGTGAGTAGCCCTCAGTGGTGAAAGAACAGGTTAGGGACTACTTAGAAAAGCTGGATATATAAAAGTCCATGGGGCGGGATGGGATACACCTGAGGGTGCTGAGGGAGTTGGCTGGTGTGATTATAGAACCGCTGGCTATTATCTTTGAAAACTCATGGCGACTGGGAGAGGTCCCAGATGATTCAAAAAGGGAAAACATAGTGCCCATTTTTAAGAAAGGAGGAAAGGAGGATTCAGGGAACTTCAGACCACTCAGCCTCTCCTCAGTCCCTGGAAAAATTATGGAGTAGGTCCTCAAGGAATCCATTTCTCATCACTTGGAGGAGAAGGTGATCAGGAATAGTCAGCATGGATTTACCAGGGGCAAGTCATGCCTGACCAACCTGATTATCACAACTGGAGTACTGTATCCAATTTTGGGTCCCCCAATGCAGAAAGGATGTGAACAAATTGGGAAGGCTACAGCAAGGGGCAACTAAAATGGTTCATAGGCTGGAGCACGTGACTACTGAGGAGAGGCTGAGGGAACTGGACTTACTTAGTCTGGAGAAGAGGCAACTGAGGGAGGATTTAATAGCAGCCGTCAACTATTTGAAGGGTGGTTCGAAAGAGGATGGAGCTGGACTGTTCTCCGTGGTGGCAGATGACAGAACAAGGAGCAATTGTGTCAAGTTGCAACAAGGGAGGTTTAGGTTAGATATTAGGAAGAACTTTCTCACCAGGGGAGTAGTAAAGCACTGGAACAGGTTACCCAGAGAGATTGTGGACTCTCCACCCTTGGAGGTTTTTAGGATCCAGCTAGACAAAGCCTTGGCTGGGTTGATCTAGTTGGGGACGGTCCTGCTTTGAGCAGGGGGTTGAACTAGATGTGACCTCCTGAGGTCCCTTCCAACCCTAACTTTCAATTATTCTAACTGCTCCAGCCAACTCCTCTAGCTCATGCAGCTGAGGCTTTGGATGTACCACTATAGCTGTAGAATCAAGTCTTGTTGTCAGCCCTGGTGGGATTGTTACATGGAACAAATATTCCATGTTGGAAAACTACAACAATACTGATTTCAGACTTCTTTTTGATTCAGTCAGAAATCTCTCTCATAATAGTATATGGATAATAAAGCTACCATCTGGGTTGTTGATATATTTGATTATTGCTTGTAGTAGAATGTGTCACATAAGCCATAAATTAGATGGGAACAGCCTCCTGAGAGTATAACCTAATATCAAAAGATTTAAAACAGATATTAAAAAGCATCATCCTATAGAAATGAAAAACAAATAAACATTTTTTATAAGGTTATCCTGGGATTTTCCCATTGTAACCGTTCTTTTTATTCTTAAATGTTTATATTTTAGGCAAGTAAACCCTGGATTGTCTTGTTTTATTATTCTTTGGATTAAGCTGTCAAATCCAGACTCAAACTAAGATCAAGGCTTTAGCGTGCCAGGCACAGTACAAACATATATGGTATGCGCACGCAGACAAGTTGCTGCAAGTTAAGCTGGGTGTGAACTTACACCACATCATCTAGTCTGTTGTAACGACCTGTGTACACACTGTTACACCACATAAATATGAAGTAGCTTGTCCCTCGGTGCAAGTTACCTCACATTTACTGGGAAGTAGAGCATGCAGACAAGGAGCCCCCATGGTAAGTTCTCACTCTAGCTCACCTCTGGGTAATGTGCTTTTTTGCCAATACCCGTAGCGAGAAACAGGTCATACCCCTGTCTATAAGACACAGAGTCAATGTATGATTGTCTTAAGTGTTTCCAATGGGACCTGAAACACCCAGAGATTAAATATTTGTCCAAGATCACAATGGTCAGCTCTTGCGGGGATAAAGAATAAATCTAGGTTTCCTCTTCAGTCCCTTTACCACGAACCATCCTTATTCTAGCAATTTACTGTTTTCCTTTCCCACCTAAAGGGGTGAGAGCACCATTAATGAAATGGAAAGATGTGGGGGGGGAATCACTGCTTCTGTTGCATGAGATAGGAGAAGAGCAGTTGGTTTGTCAGCAACTGGAGACGAGGGCAAGAAATGGCTGTGTAGAGAACACAGGCAGATGCTTTCAGAGGAGAAGGAAACCATGGTGAGTAAAATCATGGAAGAGAAACATGGAAGGCGAGAAACCAGCTCCAGAAGAGGGAAATCTGAAAGTGAGCAGGAACAACAAGACAAGAGGGGAGGAAAAGGGAGAATGATGAGAGGGAAAGAGGAACAAGAAGTCTAGGCAGAGAGAAAGAAGGAAATCTCAGGAACATGTTCCCAGAGGCTGTTGGATAAAGAGAAAGGGAAAGACCTGCAAGAGCAAAGAGGAGTCTCTCCTGAGAACGATCTCTGCCTGCTCCTGTGAGCTATACTGACTGGAGATTGAAGATAATAGCAGAAAAAGATGCCAACAGGCTTTCCATGAGCATATCTCAGAGTGCTTTGCAAAGAAGATCAGACAGAGATGAGGACCCTCAGGCACAGACAGGGGTGTGGCTTGCCCAAAATCACCCAGCAGAGCAGAAACAGAACCTGAATCGCTTGAGCTCTCTCCACTAGGAAGTACTGCACGCTCTACATCACATTTTATATAACAAGCAAGTCAGTCCTTTAGGACCCTGTGTAACAATGGGCGCATCTACACATGCTTTTACATGTGCCTAATGCACATTAAGGTGATATTTGCACATGTCTACACATGCACACATTAAGTCATATTAGCGCAGTGTGAAGACCGACTTGGGACTAAAGTTAATTAATGTGCCTTAACGCATCTACATGTGCATTAAGGCATTTAGCTATTCACACCTAAATTAGATACCTGCTTTTGCAGGTATCAATTTATGTTCAAATAGCCCCAAATCACCATTTTTAAGGCACATTAGGGGTGTGCAGGTGTAGACCCACACCCTTAATGCGCCTTAAAAATGGCTAATGTGCCTTAAATTGGCACATGTAGAGACGCCCTATGGCTCTCAATGAGGCTTAGACTTCTTAGGCATTTCTGAATTTTTTCACACTACTTATTTATCCCAAAGCCACTGAGATCAACAGGAGTCCTCCCATTGGGTTTTGGATCTGACCTGTGTGGTACACTGCCACACTCTGACTGCAAACCATTATGACCCTAAACTCCAAACTTTGTTTATGCCAGCTGCAGCAGCATTCACTACTGCCAGCAAGGTATTGTAGGTGTGAGATTTTGCCCACAAACAATTAAAAAAGGTAAAATTAAAAAAATAAATAAAAAATAAATAAAAACCAACCAGGCCCCTCTAACCTTTTTCTCATTGTTAAACTATGCTGAAAAGAGGAAGGTTGGGAGTTTAAAAAAAGATATGTACAGCGTAATATAGGTCCTACATATGCGCTTCCATTGTATTAAATGGCTCCCGAGGATTTCAGTCCAGCTTTCAGTGTATGGGATCTAGTATCACAAAGCCAAAATAACAGCTGGTATTGAATATTGACTCCTGGCATGCGAGAGGAGCATTGAAATTTTGTAACCTTACCAGCTGCAACCAGGAAATAAGGATCTTCCCTCTTACTAGTATTACCAAGGCAGAACTAGAAGAGATTGTTGCAATACTTCAAATTATTCTTAAAAGGAAGCATAATAAAATCCTCCGTAGGGCTGTATGTGGTAGTCCCAGAAGCACTGGAAATATATATTGCGTTCCAGTGAAAGCACAAATAAGACTGCAAACTGCTAACCCAACCATCTGAATTTGACCAGTTAAACAGATGGACTAATTAGAAACTGAATTATCTGTGGCATAAACGATCATGCAGTCAAAGTAAAGTCATTGCAGAAATGGACCTGACTTTGCAAAGAAGAGCAGATATGTGTGGGGTGAGTGAAACGTGCTTCCCAAATAAAAGCGTTAACAAGGAGTAAAAGGGTACCTGATTAAAATGCACAGCAAGGCATAAAAGCAGAATACAAAGGTCAACAAATGGCTTAGACCAGATTTGCTTGCAGTAAATGTGGCGAGTCACAACAAGACACAAAGATATCCTGCCCTAAAGGAGTGTTGTCATGTGTATCAGAGACAACCATTTTGCAGAAGTGTGTTGCCCTTCTCACAAGACAGAGAAATATGAAGGAAAAAGGACATATCTAGAGGGCAAAATTATGAGGTTTATGATGCAGAAACATAGCTCTGAGGCTGAATTTATACAACAAGATTCTACAAGGCACGAGAAATAAAGAAAAGACACAGTAGCTGAGTGCAATCTTACTATGGTTTACTATTTGTATAGCAATAGTGCCCAGTCCCCCAGAAAGTCAGGCCCTCTCTTGTCCTAGGCTCCATAAAATAGCCACCAAAGAGTTTATAGTCTATGCAGACAAGGGACAGAAAGGGAACAGACACAAAGAGAGACAAACTGACTTGCCTAGGCCAAGGGAATAAACCTCAGGTCTTCTCACTCCTAGGGCAATGCCCTATCTGCTAAACAGTGCTATCTCTCAGTGTAATTAGAGCAAACATATTAAAAAAGATAAGTAATTGCCATGGATTAAAGTAGAAAACTAACCTTTGTGTGGAGAGCAGGTGCAACACAAACCTATCCATCAGAGTCGAAAGAACTTGAAACAGGGGAACAGGAAGTCTTTCATGTGCTTGGACTGAAGACAGACTATCAGTGCAGATAATTAACCAGGTGTGTAACTCGTCTACTGAACAGAACGCAAAAGACACACTAGAAGCATGCTATGAGGGACTGGGCTACACGGATATGATACAATGCATGGAAAGCCCCTCGAGAAACCAGCATCACACCTGGTCTTTTATGAGGCTGAAGTTGGATCCTTATGCCCAGTTCCTTATTCCTTGCTCTCCTGTCTCCAGGTCCCAGTTCCTCGTTCCTTTTTCAAAGCTAATTTTTACACAATTAAAGGTTTTTAGTAATGAAGTAGACACACTGAAGAGTTAGATTTTCATCTAAAAAGTATATTTACTAATAACAATGTAAAATGTATAAAGTATATAGCCTTGAATAAAGAGATGAGATTAGGCTGGGATTATGGGGCAAAATCATTTTTGGGGCACCACAAAGCACACCTCTCTGCCCCCCGAGGACTCTTCAGAAGATTTCTGGGCAGGGCAGTGCCCAACCTGAAGCTCAGTTTTCATATGCCAGCCTGCCAACTAACAGCCTCCCCAGACCTGCGTGCGATGAACAATGCCTCAAATAAAATGAGTTTGGGTTGGGATTATGGGGAAAACCCACTTCGAATCACCACAAACCATATGTCCCTGTGCCTGGAGGACCATCCTGAAGAAGTCTGGGCAGGTCCCAGCCCTACATGAAGCTTAGTTTTCATGTGCCAGCCTGCCAACTCATGACCCCCCCAGGCCTGTGTACTAAACGTCCTGAATAAGGATCTGAGTTTGGGCTAGGATTATGGGTAAAAAACCTTTCAGATTACCCCAAACCACATGTCTGTGCCTCCCGGAGACTCTCCTGAAGAAGTCTGGGCAAGGCACTACCCAACACAAAGCTCAGTGTTTGCTTTCCAGCCTGCCTACTGGCAGACCCCCGGGGCCTGTGTGCTATGTACGTTGCCACGAATTAGGAGCTGAGTTTGGACTGGGATTATGGAGCAAAATCTTTTTAGGTCACTCTAAAACACACATCCCTGCCACCAGGGGACTGCCCTATACAAGTCTAAACAGACCCTTGCCCAGCCTGAAGCTTGGTTTTCAAGTGCCAGCCTGACAATTGACAGCCCCCAGGCCCGCGAGCTATGCGACAAACGGCACCCTTCTCAGGGATGTGCAGGGAGCAGATTACAGCTCTGCCCCTGGCCCCGGCCCTGTGCTGTCACTGCCCCATGATCCCAGCCTGGCTCTCGCTTCTGCCCCACCTGCCCGTCCCACTCCCAGATGCCACTGCGACAGGCCTATCCCATCCATCCTGCCTGATTGCACCCTGCCTGCCCCAGCAGTGGGTGCAGAGTGGACAGAGCTGGATAGGATCACTGGTCATCTCCCTGGTATCCCACCTCCTTACTTCCCTGCTGCCACAACAGGCAGTGGAAACAGCTGCGACTGGGGGCCAAGGCTTGGTCAGGACTCCCTCCCTGGCCCTCAATGACTCACCTAATCTCCTTAAGTGGCCTTCCAGCCAAAATAATTGCCCACCTCCAGCAGAACCCAAGACTACAAGCAGTCAAAACAGGCTTGAGTAGCCCTGAAACCTGCATACCCTCTGCATACTAATGAGGGGGTGCAGATAAGGAATATACAAAGTTTTCACTGTGGAACAAAACCTTAGTCAACCATGCAGAACATAATCAAGGATACACATATGTAGAAATATGAATTGTTTGAATACATAGCACTGTAAGCATGGAACCAATGTGAATGACTTGGGACATCATGAGATATCATAAAAGATATCAGGTTCACCCAAAGAACCTTGTCTGCCTATGTCCTTAGACCAACATGGCTACAACCTACATCCTTGGGACATCATTGCGTTATTTGACTTCTCAGTTCAGGTTTAAACCAAAAAGTACACTATGGTTTTTCTTCTTTTTTTCTTATTAAACATGCAACAGGCTACTCAGACAGAAATAGAAACCAATATGAGGATTTTTGGTAATGTACCTATCAGGTCTTTTCACTATGATAAATTTGCAAATATGTCCAATGTTTTCTGTTGAATTAATCCGGAGTGGTGACATGTTTTAATTAACAACCTTCCCTCTACTTAAATACAAGAGACTTAAATACAGAAAACAGGAAACGGATTTTGGGGACAAGGGAACAGGGTACTACATCTGAAAAGCTAGCAATTGGCATTTGAGAAAGCACAGTTTGGCAATTTGATATAGAACTGGATATGCATATATGTTTATTCCAATGTACTTAATGTCACCACAGCTACAACATAATTCTTACACTACCCACTTACTTAATGTCTTGTATAGAAATCTCTGGTACAAAAAGCTGAGGATCAATTATGAGGCTAAGGTTGCATCCTTATTCCTAGTTTCTTATTCCCAGGTCTCAGTTCCTTTTTCAAAGCTAACCTTTACACAATTAATGATTGCTAGTAATGAATCTTTAGCCAGAAAAAAACCCGCCAGAAAAAATTGCAAAGTCTTGAGATTTTATAACATGCCCTGGCCTGTCCCCACTTTTTTATTATTAATTAATGTATTTGTTTATTTAATTTGGGCTGATTCTTAACCTAATGGGCTAAAACTTATTTGAAATTTATGGCCCCGACTATAGACACCTACCTATAGTTTTTGGCACGTGTATGCAACCTGTGCTTCAGTAGTGTCCCAATAACATAACAGCTAAACCCCAAGAGCTGAGCTCAGCAGTTTTGGCACTTGCTCAGGGCATGGAAAACATAGATTCCAGCCACCCCTCTCCCCCCTCGACATGGTTAATAATGAATAACAGAGTTATAATTGTTATACCATAAGGGGACACTAAACCCGCGTGGAACTTTGGGAATAGAAAGAGCAACACTCATCCAAGTGAGAGGCATGAAAGGTAAGAAGTGATTTACTCTAAGTATCCATCAGCTATAAATTGCAGCCATAAGAATCGCCAACGATACTGCCTGACGAATATGCAGATTTTGCAGCAGTCTTTTCTCTGCTCAGCCCCACCCACTCCAGCCTTGTGCCAGTCCTCTACAGGTTTAGATGATAGTGTCAACTCGGTGATTGTTGAACCTTCCGCAAGATTTTTCTGATGTTGAGTCCTGCATTTAAAAAGAGCCCGTATGTCTATAAGAAAACAGCCTGAGATGGAATTTATTTCTTCTTAACAAGACAAATTTTGCAAGTACATCCACCTATCAGGAATCAATACCTGCCAACTGCAGAAAGTGGCTGAATGAAGGTTGCGTGAGTTGTGTTGATGTGTGTGATTAATTACATATGGTCAGTTCTAGTATATACTGTCACTGAAGAAAGGTGGCAGTCATGCAAATTGGTCAGCTGGGAATAAACATCATTAATTCCACATGACATACAGGATAAACAGAATATGGAGGGCTATGGATTTACAGAGCATCAAAAGACTAACTTGGGTAAATTTTATACTGAGATAGCAATAAAGGTGATCAGTTGGGGTTTAAACAGCTTTCCAGAGATATGATGAAACATTAAGATGAATGGCAAACACGTGCACCTGCTGGCTTGCCAGAATCATTTATACTGCTGTAACCCAGTAATAACTAGCATTGTGAATAGCAAATGTTATATTCTGGTTCTGGCTGGAAGTAAGATTTCCAGCATACACAGTAATGAGGTTTTCAGAAAAATAAATTATCCCAATTTAGTATGTGAATCAAAAACAACAAACAAACAAACAAACAAAAACCCTCTTTTTTTTCCACAGGACGGGTTTGTTGGGTGTCCTCAAACATATTCCAGGTTGGTTGTGCTGGAATAAGTTGTTTGGCTTGCCAGGTGTCTGCCTGGAGGCACTCATCAGTCTCGTTTTCTGTGAAGGCTGACTGCTGTGGTTCATCAGCTCCACAGCTCTCCACAGTCCCTCCTGCCTGCAGGTCCAGATGCCGTAGGGGCAGCTTTCCTGCTTCTGGAGAGACAGGGAGAATGTCAAAAGGATAACAGGCCTGCAGGAGGACAGTCGCAAGGCCACTGGTACCAGTGGAATAATTGCTTTTGAAAAGTGCCTTTTCCAATGGGAAAAAAAATCCTGACCTATTGTAAAACACAAGCAGCTTATGAGCTACTGCAGTCTTCGTGGCTAGGTACAAACAGTCAAAAAGCCTGAGGCTGAATCAATTCAGTCTTTGCAGGTTAGTCTAAACTGCACAGATTAAATTGAAATGGAAGTAAATAGACATTTACTTTCAATTCAGGAAATACAGCCACATGCCTGCAGCAGCTCAGGCCAGAAGCCACGGGACCTAGAGCTAGGCTCCCTGGCTGTGTGTTCACTTCCTCTTCCTGTTGCCCCCAAGGTCTCTGGGATTTGCAGTCCAGAATTACAGTAGCAGGACTCTGCGGAGTTGCTAATCACTTCCTCTTCCTGCTTCCAGGTGCCTCTGGGATTTGTAGTCCATAGTTGCAGCTAGCAGTAAGTTTGAGTGGAGGAAGGGGTGGTTAAATCCCCCCTCCCTGGCCCCAGACCCCAGCTGGGGTTTGCTTGTGGGGGTGGGGCAGTTCCCCCATAGACTGGGCTGCATCTCCAGCTGGGCTAGCCACCCCCCCCCCCCATCAGCCAGCCCCCACTGCTTCAGCTAGGCACAGAGGGGTGGGGCCCGCCCTTCTCTCTGGAGCAGACAGCACAGCACAGCCCAGCACAGGGCTGCAAAGCATGCTGGGATACTGGGGGACTCTGATTTAACTTGAACCAGGAAGGGGTCTGGGACAGAAGTTTCAGTTTGACCCAAATTGGTTAAGGCCGATATTACATTCAAACAGGTTTGTCTTAAACCAGCTTCAGCCGTTCTGAAACTGGTTTATGTGCACTGAACTTCTGTTCTGTTACAGATTTAAACCACTTTCTGATCCCTTAAACCAGTTTATGGTAACTTCTATTCCTAGCCCATGTGCAAATCCCATTGGAGACCATAGTAATT